TTATTATAAGTATTGTAATTTACTTATAAAAATTTGGACTTATATTAAGAGCAAAAATTTTTTAAAGCTTTGAAAACATATAAAATCTTAAAAAATCTTGAAAAATTTTTAATAATAAAAATTTTTAAATTATAACTTTAAAGTTTTATTACTCCAAAGTTTACTAATAATTTTAAAAAATTTTTATAATAAAGTTTATAAAATATGTTTTCAAGAATATATTTTATAATAAATATAGACCCTATATTATTAATAAATTATTTTTTTATTTAAAAAATACCAAATATACTTTAATTTTCCAAACAAATTTGCCTGGATTACAGTTTAAAGGATATAAATATATGGATTTTAAATTTTTTTTTATATAGTTTAAAGAGTCATGAGGCTCTATATAGGATATATAACATTATTTATGAATGCCCCCTGATCTAATATTTATCTAACTACTTTAATGAATGCTTAAATATATTTTAGCTATACTATTAGCATGCTATATTTGAAATCAATACTAGATATTAAAATATCTTTTATTCTGAAGAGATATTGTCATTAAACTATTCAGTAATAAAGAGGATCAGACCTATATTCAATGCTACTCTTGCATTCTGAAACTACTATATTTAGCTAGATTATATTTTCTATATTGCTTATCTTTTTATTTTTGTAAAACTTCTAAATTAGTAATATTTAAATTATAGATCTTTATAATCTTTCAGTATAGTATACTATATTATTTTTTCTTTTAAAATATTTTAACATTAATACAGAATTTGCAAGAACTCATATTTCAAGCCAAAAACTGCTGTCTGATTAGATTTATCACATAACAAAGTTAGTATTTCATTATCAGATATCTTCTTCTACTTATTTTACTTATCTGCTCAGATACTACTAACTCATATCTTAAGCTAGTTTCTGCTATTGCAGCTAATTACAAATGCTTCAGGTTTTAATATTATATAGTCACTTAGTGTTTTTTTTTGTTTTTTTAAATACTATCTACTATAATGGAATTTAGAACAAATTTTGCAAATATACAGAACAATTTTGATTATACTTAGAAAGTTATATTGACTTTAGTAATACTATACTATCATATTATATTTGCTTTTAGCATATTGTTATACAAGACCAGAATAATTTTGGTTATGTTTAGAGAGTTACACTAATCTTAGTGATGCTGTATTATCATTTGTATTTTTTTTTTTATTAGCCTTTTTGGGGCTAAGGTTTTTATTCAAATTATTTAGGTTGAAAAGCTTATAACAGAACTTTCTTATATTAAAGAGTATAACTAGCCATATATACAACTTTTGGTTGTTTATTTAAGTAGTCTGTATATTTGTATTATATTATAAAGATTATACTATTTGTTATATCTATAATCTAACTAGGTGACACAAAGTTATACAATCACCATGGTGACTATAATCTTGCCCAGACAGCTTTAACTTTATATATATTCGGTCTCGCTTGGCACAGTCAACTTTCTCCTTTACTCACAAACTCCAGGATAACGCATGTAAGTATTTTCTTATACTGAAACGCTCCTTTTTATTTTTCTCTCGTCAAGAGACTAACTTTCGCTCTTTATTTTTATTTTCTATTTATATTAATTTTTCATTATACTACTTTGTACAACCTTGATTATTAATTTATTTTAATTCACCTTATACTTTACATTCGCTATTTACATATAAATTTCTATTGCGTACCTTGTGCAACCCTTAAACTATCTCATGCACTATTAATTTAATAAACTTTTTAATTATGCCTAATTTGTTATTATTATTATACATCTGACGATCAAGGTATCTAATGTACCCGATCTCACTAATACCACCCAACACTATGATCTTCTATACGGCCCCAATCGATCACATGATTACGTGAGTTGTTCGAACCATATTCCCGTTACACTTTTCCACTTATCGATTCATAGTACATTTCGCTATCGATCTGCATCCCTTTTACTAAATACAAAGGCTCTTCGAAAACTATGCGACAGGAGCTGGACCCCAGTAGTTCTCGTCCTCAAGGACCTCATCATTTTCGTTCGTTTGTTCTTCGGTTAGATCACATGGTTCTTCATTCCAGGTAAATAATTTTTTTACCTTATTTCTTGTTACTGGGTCTTTGAATTCACAACCATCAAGCTCATTTAAATACATTTGCCCATACTTTCCTACACTTCGAACCCTATAAGGTTCCATCCATCAGTAATCCAATTTTTGGGCCGACGTATACAACGTCGAGTTATATACTAGGACCAAGTCCTCTATTTGGTAAGTCTCTTTTACTCTTGCCCTTTTGTCATATAATTCCTTCCACCAATATTTTAATTCATCCTTTTCAATTTGCGCTCTTTTAAGATCCACTACCAATTCCTTGATTTGTTTGGTTTGGTACTCTAACAACTCATCTGTTGTCTATTCCTTTCTTGCAACATACACCTTATAGGTCTCTAACATCAATTGAATGGGTGTTACAGCGTCACGTCCATATACTAGGCAGAATGATAAGTATCCCAAATCACTTACTGTTACATTAATTGCCCAAATCGCGCTCCTGACATACTCATGCCACTTATTTTGCTTTTCTGTACAAATTTTTCTTATGATTCTGGTGAACTTTTGCACTGTTCATTCTGCATGTCCATTTGCTTCTGGGTAGTAACTGGCCACAAACCTCTGATCGATATTTAACCTAATTGCCAATTTGGTTAACACATTGTTCTTAAATTCGGTACCCCTGTCTGAAACAAGTACCACAAAACACCCATGCCTTGTTATAATTTCATCCCAAATAAATTAGGCTATTACATTAGTATTTTTTTTCTTCAGTGCCTTTCCTTCCACATACCTAGTCAATTCTTCGACTGCCAATACAACATGTTCATGGCCTCCTGAAGTTCTTGGCAACGGCTCTAGACAGTCGATGTACAGTTTATGGAAAATCTAACTTGTCGCGACCACGTGGATTGGTTCCTTGATTGCTTTTGTTGCACATCTCTGACATTGTACACATGACTTCACATATTTCTTTGCATCTTCATATACATTTCCTGTTGCCTAACAATAGTTCATTAAAACCTTTCTTGCGGTTTCATTAATACCTTTATGTCCCTCATCTTTGGCTATTCCTCGATAATTCGCCTCTAATATCTTGAACTTTCATTTTCATCAAATATCACTCGTTTTGGTGAGACACCTCCCTTAGCTCTCTTGTACAAATGATCGCCGATTATACAATAATGTTTCATCTTTTGTCGCAACCGTATCAAATCCGACGTTTTTACCTCACACGACCACTTAAATCCTGTAGATACCCTTTTATCCAATTCAAGTCTTGCTCGTTATTTTTAAAGCCTTCCACTCGCATCAATATACCTTCTACGAATTCCTCATCATTTCCTTCTTTATTCAAACATCTTTCTGGGTATCTTGATAATCCATCGGCGTTATCATGCCTTTTTCCACTCTTATAACAAACCTTAAATTCGAAAGCTTGTAGTGTCAATACCTAGCACATTAACCTTCCCTTTAGCTCGGCCTTGTTAAACAACCATTCAAGTGCTTGGTAGTCGACCCATACATTGAACACCGTACCTCCAACATACCGTTCATTCGAATTACATCCGAAAATTATCGCCAAGTATTCCTTCTCCGTCACTATATAATTTACTTCATGCTGGTTCAATTTTCTCGACTTAAACGTTACTGGCCTTAGATTACCTTCATCGTCGTATTGTTCCAAGACTGCCCCAACCGACACATCACACGTATCGGTATACAAATGATATGGCCTTAATCCATTTTTTGCACCATTCCAATCGGGCCCTTTTAGCACAACATCTTTCAGTAACATACTCTTTAACTTATTAAATGATTCCTTCTGTTTTTCGCCCCATTCAAATCGACTTTCTTTCTTCATCAAATCCATCAACGGCCTCGCAATTTCACTAAAATTTCTTATGAAATGCCGATAATACCTCACTGTTCCATGGAACGACCTAACTTCGCTTTGATTCTTCGGGTCTGGCCAGTCCTTTATTCTTTTTAATCCTTTGTTGTCCACTTTTATTCCCCTTTTACTAACAACAAACCCGTATATATTTAATTCTTTATATGCTATAAAGCATTTTTTTGCTGCAAAGGTGAGCCCAGCCTTCTTGAATGTTTTGGCTAAATCAATGAACATATCCATGTGGCCTTTCAAATCACCATCGGTCCACAACCCTATGTCGTCTTGATATGCTGCTGCTACCTTTTTCCACCGGTCTCCCTTTAGGATCAAATCTATCAATCTCTGGAACATTTCACTAGTGTTTTTCAACCCTATACACATTACGGTGTATCGTAATACTCCCATCGTCATCAAAACCACAACCTTGTCTCGATCTTTCTTTCGTATTCGTATCTGCCAATATCCCTTGAATGCATCTACACTTGAATACCATTCGTGTCTAGCTGCTTTCTCCAATATATCTCTTATAATCGGTAGCGGGTAACTATCCTTTATTATGTACTGATTGAGTGGTTTTATATTTCCAACGGCGCGAATTCGATCTGTACCTCCTTCCTTTTTATCTACCGGGAAACAATAATATGCGTATGGTCCTTTTTCCTCCTTCAACAATCTATACTTTATCATCTCTCTCAGATGCTCTTCAAACAATTGGGCTTTTTCAGGTTGTTGATCCTAATCTGCCTTAATCTCATATAGGGTATTTCTACACCACCGGTCCTCACTTCGTATTCTACCAAATCGGTACGTCCCAATTCAGATAAATCAAATGCGAACGTTTTGGACACCTCATTAATTAACTGACATTTAATATATTGCTTTTCTTCGGGCAAAAGGTTAGGCCCATAATTCAACAATTTCACGTTTTCTATAGTTAACTTACGCAACATTACTGGCTCTGAAATTGACGACGGTACTTCCTTTTCACATGATCTCATATCAGGTGATTCGTGTCAAACAATTTTGAACCCTGATCATTCATTGCCCTTTTCCAAGGTTTGTCCATCTTTCTTCATTATTTGAAATTTTCGTACAGCCACCACTCTGTTAACCTCTTCATCGTCATCACTATATTTATCTAATTCATCATCACCCTCTTCGTCTTTTTCTATCCAACTTTTTGGCACAACCAAAACTAGGAACGATGATTCTCTGTTTTTCGATGATACTGTATACCAGTACTCATTGTTCTTCCAATATAGGTTGCATTGTGCACTGGCTATCCACGGCATTCCCAGTAAAACATCAAAGCTTGCCGACTCCATTACATAAAAGCTTTGATTCGTTATTACGCCTTCTAATTCAACTTTCACTTGAGATATGTACCCTTTAAATTCACTTATTCTGTCATCTGCCATTCTTCCTTTTCCATATACACGATCCTATCTAAGCCCCATTTTCTTTGCATAACTTCATGCATCAAATTCAAGCGAGATCCGAGATCGATCGGTACATTGACTAGGTTTCCATTGATTAAGGCAGGCCACATTGGCACTATTTCGGTCTTACTTTTCCGAACTTTATCTTCCTTGACAAATCTTAACCTAACGTCTATATCTATGATGTTGGTATTTTTTCTTTTACGAGCTAACGCTCTCATGATCTCATTTCTTGCCTTGGGTGACCATTTGAATAGTTGCCCAAGCGTAATATTAAATTTCAGTTCAGCGACGGTTTTCAGTACGTCAAGATCCTCTGTTAGTTCCGTTAATGGTATGTATATTACTGAATTTTTAATGTCCTTATTTTGACTTGATGATGATGGTTCACTTGGTCTCACTTCTAATACCTCCTGTGATTTTCCTCTTTTATTAGATTTCTCACCTATTATCTGATTATCATGTTTCCTTTTCCCTAAATTCCTTACATCGCCTACGTCTTGTTCTCCTTCAATCAATTCTACCAACAAATATTCCGTATTACTTTTCGATTCATCGTTGGTGAGCTCCACAAAACGTATATCGGGATCCTTTTGCTTATTATTGTCCTTATTCAAGCTTTGATCCTTTCTCTGGAGATCTTCGAACTTATTCACAGGGCGATCTTTTATTACCTTTTCTGGACAATCACGTGATATGTGACCATCCTTTTGGCATGAATAACATCGAAGTCCGGTGTTCCATTCATTTTGCCGTGAGATGCCTTCTCTTTTAGTTAGATCTTTCATTGCTTTTGCCATATCTTTAATCGCATCTTTTATTTCTTGAATGTCATTGTCAGGCTTCTTTTCAACCTGTGATATCTTTAAAGTTTCTATCGCTTTCGTTAACTCATTGATGTCAGTTTTCACATATTTACTTGTTCCTTCTATCAGCGTCTTATTCGCTCTTTGTAAATCAAATTCATTGTCCCTATTATACCTTTCAATCTTTAC